AATGAAGAAAAGTGGAAAAGCTGGACAAAAGTTAAAAATATATATGTGTCCAACTGCTTGAAAGTTCATGGATAATTATAAGACCTTGGAAAAGACATAAATCTCGAGAGCTAAACCCAGCATTTGGATCTGTTTTTTCCCCTAAAGATATTTGCCAATTTCAGGAGAGGCTTCTGCAAGGCTGAGAATCTGAGTAGCATTTTTGACTGACTCACAGGGATAGGGAGATTAAAGTTTGACCCCAGTACCTTCCAAATAGGGATGCTGGTAAATCTCTGTTTGGGGTTGGGACCCTGAGAGCTATACCTTAGGTTTGGGCGCACCAGAAACTGAGCAGCCCTTGGAGGAAGCAGAACCTAGCTTCTGTTATCTCAACCCTTAGAAACTGGTTTGAGGGAATCCCAGGTTGCTACTGCTCCCCAGGAACCTGACATATTTAAACATTAATCCCCTCTGGAGGAAGATAATATCATTCTCCACCTCAATCATTCTGTGAACAGTTTTCTAAAATTTTTTGAATTTTTTATTGTTTTTGGCACACACTAAAAATAACCAGAAACATGAAGAGACATGAGACCATAAACAAGAAAGACCAGAATCAACAGGCAATAAAAGCAGATCTACAGAAACTCCAGACACACACGTGATGAAACAGAGATTTCAAAACAACAATGCTCACTATGATCAGCTAGATAAAAGAAAAGCTTCAGAAATTGGCAGGGAATTGGAAACTATAATTTTAAAAAAGAAGATAGTATATTTGAAAAAGAACTAAATAGAAACTTTAAAAATAAAATAATTAAAATTAATAACTCTATGGATGGGTTTTTCAACAGATTAGACACAGCTGAAGAGGAAATTAGTGAACTGAGAGATAGGCAAGAAGAAAATATAAAAAATAAAGCATGGGGAGACCCCCTTCCCCCTAAAGAAAAGAAAAGAAAAAGAAAATATAATGGAGAAGGTAAGAGACATAAAGCATAAAATGATAGAGCCTAGCATATGTTTTTGAGTCCTAAAATGAGAATAGAGAAAGAATGGGGCAGATGCAACATTAGAAAATGTAATGGGTGAGAATGTTCCCACCTTGAAGAAAGTCATCAAGAGACAAACTCAAGAAGTCCTACAATCCCAAGTACGATTAAAAAAACATCACATTTAGGCATATCAGAAACTGATGAAAACCAAAAACTTAGAGAAAATTTTAAAGGCATCCAGATTTTTTATAAAGACATTATCTTCAAGAGAGGGGCAATTAAAGTGACAGTAGACTTCTCAACAGAAAGAATGAAAGCTAGAAGAAAAAGAAATGATACCTTTAAAGAGCTAAAAGAAAACTAGAATTCATATCCAGTGAAGATATTCTTTAGGAATGATGGTAACATAAAGCATTTCATAATTTATCTTCTTAAAATGCAAAGTGTCAAATATAAACAAGACAAATAATGAAATTAAGCTTCTGGACAATAATCTAAAAGAAGATCTTCATGACCTTGGTGTAAGGAAAGATGTCTTAAATAGGATTCAAAAATATCAACCAAAAAATAAATTTGACTGCATTGAAATTAAGACTTCTATTAATCAAAAGACAAAGCGGTGGACACTGTGATGTGCCACCCAGATTCCTGCCATGGAATAAAGAACTTTTCACTCCAGCTGCTGGGAGAGCCAGCAGCAGACATCGTTCAGCTCTCAGCCCCTTGGGGATTGCCTTACCTGTCCCTTCACAGGGTGGACTGCATCCCACGATCAATCAATTTGAAAGCATAAAGTCCCGGTCCCCTCAGCTGAACTTGGGATAGCTTTGAAGGAGAGAGTCAGCTATAACCTGCAGACTACAGTGCCGCTCAACTTTTCCCTCTCCTCAACTGCTTCTTTCCCCAGATGTTGATCCCAAGAGCATTCTCAAATAAACTTCCTGCACACTCGTCTCCATCTCAGAATCTGCTTCTTGGGAAACCCAACCTGCCACAGATACCATTCAGAAAGTGAAAATACATTCAGAATATATCATGGATTTCGAATTGTTGGAAACAGAACTAAGAATAATTTATCTTTCTGTTTTTCTGCTCTATAACAGGCTTCCCCCATGAGACAAAGGGTGCATTGTACTGTATGTCAATTATAATTTAATTAAAAAAAATGCAACCTCCACCAAAAAGATCCTCAAACCAACCAAACAAAAAACTCTTCAGCAGGGCCCATCACACCCTGCAGAGCTGGCTTGTCTTCCTTTCCTCCTTTTGTCCCCCCTCCTCCTTCATGTGTACAGTTTCAGCCACTCCGGCTTCCCTTGAGGCATGGGAGATTGGCCTCCATATTTACTCAAATGGTTCTCCCTCTCAATTTTTATGTGAGTGTCTCTGCTTTATTTTACATTTTCTATTTTTTTATTAAAGAGTTCCTCGATCTGTTCTTGCAATTTTCCAATTCATTTTTCACCTCTGTTCCATCTATGGTGCTCTCATTTCAGCTATTACATTACATATATATGTTTATTTACACATGTATAAAACATGCTCTTTTTCACACCGGCACAGCGAGGCACTCAATCAACAAGTGCTAAGTTGAAATGATGAGGACAGGAAGGATATAGGGAAGAGGACAGAGGGACAGTCACATTTTTAGGCACCTACTCTGAGCTGGGTACTTAACCAATACTTTCTCATTCAACTTCAAAAGTCCTTCAAGATGGGTATCATTAGCCTCAGATGCTACCAAGTCTGAATCCAGATCACGATGCCTCCAAAGCCACAGGAGCTCACCCCACCTCCTGCACTGGCCAGCAAGTCCACTGTCTTCTCTCCCGCGCCCTGTGCTCCTCAGCTCAGCTGCCTGGCCTGGAGCAAGCCGAGTTCTGGAGGACACAACTCTGAGTTCAGCCAGCCCCCTGGGAGGGGCCATCATGCTGGGCACAGCCAGATTAGACCAGCTCTGCAGCTGGCCTGCAAATTGGGGAGGAGTTTCCTCTACCTGCTGCCGGACTGCAGCCTGTCAGGACTTTTCTTTCTCCAACCAATCAAAGACCATTTGGAGCAGCCAACACTTGTGAAGTGGAATATACCTCCAGATCTTGAACCATGCCAGGTTTTCTTGAGGAGATATTTCAAGAAACACCTCAGAAGTCCTGTCCTGGACCCTGCTCCTCCCACTTACAAGTCGGCCTAAACTAACCTCTCAAAGCATCAAGGCCGTCACCTGTGAGATAAGGATGATGAAGATGGTGGTGATGATGCTATCTGTCCTGCCTGCTCCATAGAACTGCTTGATGTTCAATCTGTCACCTGTAAACATCTTCGTGCACATAATAGGCAAACCATTATTACTGTAACAAAAATATACAGCATGTAGCCTTTTACTAGCTGTGTAACTCTGGGAAACTTACTTTCACTGTTCTGTGCTTCAGTGTTCTTATGTGTAACATGGGGATGGTGATAATGCACACCTCTGATTTATGTGAGAGGCTTATACAGGGCTATGAAGCTGTGTTCTATCACCACCCACCACTTACGAGCTGGCAATGACAACAGTCACCTACAGAATAGAAAGACTTGGAGCTCATTTCTGTGTGTGTCTGGGTGTATGTGTGTGGTATGCTAAGAATATGTCTGACAAGGAAAGGCTGAAGAACTGTTCTGGATTAAAAGAGACATGACAATTAATATGTCATATAGACATAATGATTAATAGTTGATCCTAAATTGGACTCTGGATCGAGGGAAAATACTATGAAGGACAGTTTTGGTACAGTTGGTGAAATTTGAATTTGGACTACCTATGCGATAACGTAAGTATTAAAATTAGTATTAAAAGAGAGATACACCTGGGAAATCTGGACACCCACATGTAAAAGAATGAAAAGAGACCATTCTTTTACAAACATTCACAAAAATAAACTCAAAATGGATCAAAGACCTAAAGGTAAGACCTGAAACCATAAGGCTTCTAGAAGAAAATATAGGCAGCATACTCTTTGACATCAATCTTAAAAGGATCTTTTCAGACACTATGTCTTCTCAGACAAGGGAAACAATAGAAAGAGTAAACAAATGGGACTTTATCAGGCTAAAGGGCTTCTTGAAGGCAAGGGAAAACAGGATTGAAACCAAAAAACAACCCACCAATTGGGAAAAAATATTTGCAAATCATATATCCGACGAAGGGTTAATCACCATAATATATACAGAACTCACACAACTCAACAACAAAAATTCCAACAATACAATCAAAAAATGGGCAGGGGACATGAACAGACATTTCTCAAAAGAAGATATACAGATGGCCAATAGGCACATGAAAAGTTGCTCATCATCACTGATCATCAGGGAAATGCAAATCAAAACTACACTAAGATCTCACCTTACACCCATTAGAATGGCTAAAATAACCAAAACAAAAAGTAACAACAGATGTTGGAGAGATTGGGGAGAAAAAGGAACACTCATACTCTGCTGGTGGGAATGAAAACTGGTGCAGCCACTACGGAAAACAGTATGGAGATTTCTCAAAAAGTTAAAAATAGAAATAGCATATGACCCAGCCATCCCACTACTGGGTATCTATTCAAAGAACTTGGAATCAGCAATTCCAAAAGAACCATGCACCCCTATGTTCATTGCAGCATTATTTACAATAGCTAAGACGTTGAAGCAACCTAAGCGCCCATCAACTGATGACTGGATAAAGAAGATATGGTATATATACACAATGGAATACTACTCAGCCATAAAAAAGGATAAAATAGTCCCATTCACGACAACATGGATGGACCTGGAGGGTATTATGTTAAGTGAAATAAGCCAGATAGAGAAAGACAATCTCTGTATAACTCCACTCATATGTGGAAATTAAACACATAGACTAAGAGAACAGATTAGTGGTTACCAGGGGAAAGGGAGGGTGGCGGGTGGGTACAAAGTGTGAAGTGATGCACCTACTACACGACTAGCAATAATGCGCAACTCAGATTTCACAAGGTTGTAAACTATCATAATCTCAATAAAAAGTTTAAAAAAAAAACCACCTAGAACAGTGCCTGGGCTATAGAAAGCACAACAATTAATGTTACCTGTTATTACCTACTAGGATGTAAGCCACATGAGGGCATAAACTTCATCTATTTTACTCACTGCTGTATCCCCTGGAACAGCCCTGGTACATAATATGTGCTTAATTAATATTTGTTGAATGAATAAGGGAACTGGCCTCTGAAGCAAGACAGTTAAGAACTATGGTGAGGTATTCAGGGTCAATTGTCCTCACACGCAGAGACTGACATTATTCACTCTGGTTCCTGGTCATTGGTTACCCTGGTGACCCCGGTCTGCAAAGCATCCTGAGATTAGTCCAATTGTTCCCGTCACCTGGTTAACCAACCGAAAATGCACCTAGCAACTCCCAAATAAAATGCATTGTGATTGACTAACCCATGATTGTCTGACGTCTGTCCTGGTTCTGCTCCTCACTGCCTTGCCTGGTAAAGGGAGCGCGGGACTGGATTTTGCTGCCATCTTCTCTCTGCTCCTCAGCTGGCCAAGACAGGTTCTGACTGGCCGAGTCCGAGCCTCAGGCCAATGCTCACGTACAAGGACGAAGGCTTGCCTTTGTAAGGAGCTTCAGTAGGCAAATTTCAGCTGGAAGTCATGCTGCAAAGAGGTCTCGGAGGGCTGGTGAGTCACCGACATGCAAAATCTCTTCTCCGAGCCCTGGCTGGCCAGCCCCCGCTGCCCAGGTCAGCCTGGATGCCAGCCCAGCCTATCACTGTGAGTATCCTCATTGCTTACCAGATGCCGGGGAGTTGGGATGGTGGTTGCAGAGTCCCAGAGTGAGAGACCTCAGCTGTCCTTTGTTCTGCTGCTCTCCTTTGACAGATGAGAAAACTGAGGCCTGGAGATACAAGGTGGCCTGCCCAAGGCCACAGCAGTGACTGGCAGAATTGAGACTTAGAGCCAGCACTCCCGATTCTTAGAAGATGCTCATTTCACTTGGCTCTATTGTCCTATATTGAGGGGTGGGGCCCTCAAACTGAGGGCTTAGAGACGACACCTGGAGGCCCCTCCAGCCTCACCGACCCTGTTGAACATTCCCCATATGGGAAATCTGGTTTGCCAATCCCCAGAGTGAGCAGAATTAGGGGAAGAAAATCTGCTCAGCGCCAACTCAAGGGAAAGCAGTCATTACATTTTAATGAGGTATTTTCTAGATAAAAAGAAGTAGGAGGCAAAATTAAAAGTCAATTGGGTGCAAATTAAGTGCAAAAGAGTAGCATTCATTGGATGTCACTCCTTTCATATTTTCATAAGGTGAGTAACTTCATTCCAAAAATATTTGAGTCCAGGCTTGGTTTCACGTCAGTCCTAGGAAAGAATTCTTTGGCTCAAACTAGAGAAGGGTATTCAGATAAACTCTGTGGGATTCAGATGGAACTAACATCTTGGAACACTTGCCTTGGGTTGGGGACCAGGCCAAGTACCTTCGTGTCTCATGACCTCATGCCACCCTCACAGCAACCTACAGGGCAGGTGGTGTTATTCTCATTTTACATTTGAAAACTGACGTTCGGGGTAGTTAAGGGGCAAGCAGCAGGAAGTGCAACATATGAATGGGGAGAAATTATACAGACCGAATTCAAATGCCACTCTACCATCCACCAGCTGGCGAAAGAGCCCCCTGCAGGAAGGCAGAAAGGATTGGAGTTCATTCTTATACGTTTAGGCTTTTTTCCACCCCTTAAGAACATGTCTGTCTATAAATAATATAAGAATCTGTATTTCTCTCCATTTGTGTAGGTAAGGGAGGGCGCATAAAGGGAACTGTGACTAAACTGATAAATGATCCAGAAAAACGTAGAAACTGTACAAGAACAGGAAGGACTGATTGGCACCAGCGAATACAAGCAATAACCAGGTGGAAAGTACAAGAAGGTGCTGCCTTATGATGGATTATTCACAACTCCTGGGAGGAGAGCTGGCCATCTGCACCACGTCCTCTCCTCTGTCTGCCAGAAAAGGGAGACTCTGGTTGCTCCTCCAGTTGTAACGGGACCGTAGGAGGGATAATAAACCAGATAGTCAACCAAGGTGAACTCTCTTGGGAGTAGAGTTTGGAGGACATGGGGGAGCAGGAGAGGGAAGAGGCAGGGAAAAGGTTGTGACTTTAAATTATATACCAGCCAGAATCCCCAGGGGCACTGAGGCTTGACCAGCCTACAGGTTCCCCTGTGCAAGTGGGAGTCCTTCTGACACGCCCATCTGGACATTTTATTCTCCTGCTTATAACTCTTCCGGATAAAACCCAATTCTTTAACATGGTGCCTTGGGTCCCAGGCTTTCTCTCTGACCTCCTCCCTTGCCTCCCTTCTCCCCCATTAGACATTTCCACTTCTACAGTTCTGGGAACCTGACATGCTGTCTCCCACCTCTGGGCATTTGTACACGATCTACTTCGTGAAAACAGGCCCATCTATTAAACACGTGCATGAATTAATAAGTCAAATTGGAATTGATTCAGACACAGTCTGCCGCCTCTTTTGGACTCTGCAGGTCTCAAGCAGCCACTTCCAGTCCAATATAAAGGATTATTCCATCCCCAATGCCAGCTGGAGCCCAGTCATGGTGGGGCTGTATAACGAACTCATGGAGAAGACTGTGGATGGGTCATGGACGCGACTTCCAGGTTGTTGGCGCTCTCTGCAGTTACTGAAAGAGGCAGACCTTGCTAGGATTGCTAAGGCTGTCCCCAGTAAGTTCAAACCCCTGTATCAGGATTGCTTAACCTGGGCTGGAGGGGGCTCTGAATAATGCAGAACTTTTGACAAAACTTTGCCTATGTGTGTGCATTTTCCCCAAGGCGCGCTGTGTCTCAGCCCATCTCCCATATCTCTGGTGTGGCTTGCATTAGCCTGAGAGTCAGGTACAAGGCAGCCTGGACATGGTGATCCTAGACTCACATGACATTAGGCCAGAAAAGGAACTTGGAGGACACCTAGTTCAACCTGCTCATTTCACAGATGAGAAAACTGAGACCTAGAGAGCTGACATAGGGAGTTTTTGGCAGAGCCTGGACTAGAATCAGGAAGCCCTGACTCCTGGTTCCGTATTCTCTCCACCCTGTCAGCAGTCATTCCTGGTGTCTCCTTATACGTGCTCGCCCCACCACCTCCTGTGACAAGGGCAGCACGAGTGAGGAATCGAGAAGGGGCAGTGCCTTCACCCTCGTACACCCGAGGCTGGTAGCTCAGTGACGCTGCCAGTGGGCAACGGTCAGGTATCTTAGTGACCACTGAGGCCAGGAGCCAGAACCTGTTGGAGCAGGACTCATGCTCCCTCTAGTGGTCAGTTTGAGCTGAGACCCTGGTCAAGGAGAAAGGATGGAAAAGAATGGCAGAAGCTGGGATATGGCATTGAAGAGACAGGAGGAGCCAGTTGGAAGACTTCTAATTTTATACACCTAACCTTTAATTAGAAATTCTGCTTTGATATTCCTGGAAAAAATGCAGGTGTGCATAAGCATTTGGATTTTGTGTATCGGAGGTTTTACCCTTGACCTCCAATTAAGGCCTCCAAACCCTTCCACTTCCCTTGGAGTTCATACTGTACAGACAAATCTCACGTAAATCTCAGACCTGTGGGAATTAGAGGAGGGGACATATTTGCTTATTTTACAGGAAGGGTTTTCACCTGCTTATGCCTTGATCTGCCAAAATCAGTGCATTTCAGATTAGCACTGGTTATTTAGTTGATAGAAACAGTCGTATTCTGATTCCACGGGCAGTTCACTCCTCACCGTCCCTCACACTGCTGATCTCTTCTCCTCCCCGGAAGCTGCTCTTCTCCTTCAGAGGATGATGGGGCCATTCCAGGAGGCGCAGATGGGAAGCTGAGGGCGGTGGGTTTTCCTGAGGACCTCCTCCGCTCAGATCCTTTCTGCCCAGGAGACCCCCTGCACCGCCCAGAGGGTCAGACTCCAGCCTGAGGTCCGTCTCACTGACTTGACTCTTCTCTCTAGTCCAAATGATTGAAGATGCCCGCCTCTTTCTACGGATCACAGATACAGAGAGACTCGGCTTTGAGTATGTCATCTTCCACAGTGACTCGGAGAAGAAGTGTGTCTGCTTGTTCCAGCCTGGGCCCCTCCTGGAGGGGCTGCCTGGGTGAGGCATGGAGGACCATCCCAGTTGGCAGCTCAAATGGGCTTTTTCTTGGTCAAAGAGCAGGAAGGGGGTGAGAAGCCAGTCGGTGGGTCCATGGCTGCCTTTCACAGGTTCTTGGTTACTGCAGCGCAGAGGAGCATAAACCTCATTTTACCAGCTTCCCGGGCAGGGTGACTCCGCCAGCCCCTCAGCCACTTACCCAAGGTGTGGCCTGTCCCTATTAGGGAGTTCTTTCACTGATCCTCAACCTCCTAAATAGCACTGGAATAAGCAGTTGACATTAAAAATGAGAAGGAAACGCTATTCTTGCTCAGTGGCTAGAATATGCCAGACCCAGTACACGGAGCTTTGGCTGTGTTAATTTAATGCTCACCAAAATTCTTAGAAGGAGATACTCTTTTTTTTCTAACTTATAGATGAAGAAACAGGTGCTCCAAGTGCTGACTCCACAGGTGCTCCATGTGACTGAGGTCATATGGCTAGAAATGTGGGATTCGGAGTTAGGTCTCTCTGCCTGCAAAGCCCATGCTGTTTTCTCTGCACCCTTCTATTTCCACCTGAGACTAACCCAGGAGGGAACACAAATTCATCAGAATTTGAGGTTAAAGCGGGCCGTGGGTGGAAGGCTCCTTCCGCCACTTTGAATAGCTCATCCCCTACTAAGCAGGTGCAACTTAATTAGACAACATTGCTTGTCTTCCCCTTCCATTGGTTTTCCTCTCTCCGCTCCACCCTGAGTAATGTAAGAATGTGGCCCTGGATGGCAGGGAACTCTTCAGCATTTCGCCTCACCAGCACCTGGCCATGCAGAGTGGGGTCCTGGGTCAGTATTGCTTCCACTTTCTCCCCTTGTCTGGCCCTGCAGGATCATCCATGGCGGTGCGCTGGGGACCATGATAGACACCACGTTTTTCGCGACGGCATACTACAGTGCCAATGCAGTCTTTACAGGGACCATGACCATCACCTTCAGGAGGTCTGTTTCCTTGCCTGGGTTCAAGTGAGGAGTAAGCTGGTGTGAGGTTATTCCATGTGTTATGATGGCAAATAAGGGCTCAGGCGGCAATCTGATTGCAAGGAGGAGATTTAACTTCTGCTTTTCTCATGGACCAATCTAAACTTTTAAGCTGTTCCTTTTTCATTCAAGGACAAGGCACCAGGCTTGAAGATGGGTTATGTGTTCGAACAAAATAAAAATATTCTACATAGGATGATGACGAACTATTTTTGGCCCCCGGTGACTTAGAGAAAATCAATCAACGTGCCCATAAATATTTAACTCAGTCCACAAATAATTATTGGGCCCCTACTGAAATGATAACTCCTTAGATTCGACTAGTGTCTTACTAAACACTTACACACACATTATTTCATTTGATCTTTACTATAACGCTGGGAGATAGGTACTATTATCTCCAATTTGACAAGTGAGGAAGCTGAGGTGAATACCCAGCTGGCAAGTGACAAAGCCAGGATGAAATGCAAGCATCGCTGCCTCATTCCAAAGTCTGCTTGCTTTGCACAACACTGCTCTGCCTTGGTGAGCTCTCAAGAACACACAGAGAAGGGCAAGACACAGCCCCTACTCTCAAAGGAGGGGAACAAGGTGTATTGGTCAGAGTTCTCTAGAGAAACAGATGTAGACACAAAATATTATATTAATATATTAATCAATGTAGCTATTATAAAGAATACTAATATATTAACATACACATAGATAGATTTATTTCAGGGACTTGACTTATGCAGTTGTGGGGACTGGCAAGTCTGAAATCTACAGGGCAGCCCATCAGGATGGAAACTTTTGGGCAGGAACCGAGGCTGCAGTCTTAAGGCAGCATTTCTTCTTCCTCAGGGAAGCCTCAGTTTTGTTCTTAAGGCCTTTCCACTGATAGATTCGGCCCACCCAGGTTATTGAAGATAATCTCCTTTACTTAAAATTAACCGAATCTACAAAATACCTCGATAGCAACTCCTTGATTAGCATTGATTGAATAACTGGGGATGATAACCCAGTCAAGTTGACATATAAAACTCACCATCACATAAGGAATACTTGTTTACAGATTAGAGCCATTCTGCCAAAGAAGAAGAAAGCCTTCCATGTGTGGATAGAGCTACTTGATATTATGCAAACTGCAACTGGGTCCTGCTCACCTCTGTGGGCAACTCAAAAACTGGTCAGCAACTGGGAGAACTGCGACCAGAAAATAGGTGCTAACGTTTATGAACTTTTAGCCAAAATGTAGCATATCTTTCCTCACTGGGAAGATGGCAGGAAAACAAGAGGAGCTTGATCTTTCCAGAGGATGGGGAAACGGTTTGTTACAATGTTGATGGAGTGGTTTGTGGCTTCTATATGATGATAAAACAAAATGCCACACAGCCTGGGCTTGCCTTGTGGCTCCTCTCTCCCAATGCCCCTGATACTCGGCGCTTGGAGTAGAATCCCAGGACCCCCTTTCTGGTAGGGACGCAGCCCCCCACCCCACAATAGAGTCTTCCACTCCTTTCTCAGAGACCAGCCCGTGAGCTGCTCTACCTCATTGCTCTCTCACAGCCCAGTCATCCTCGGCTCCGTGGTGAGGCTGGAGGCAACGGTAACTGGCACAGAAGGAAGAAAGGTATTTCTCTCTTGTGAAGCCCAAAACAGTGACGGGACCATCCTCTTTGCCGAAGCTTCTGGTAAAGCCATTAGAATTCTTTGTTCCTGCTGTTTGTGCCCATCCTTGTGACCGGGCACAGAGGGCGACTTCCCCTACTGCTGACAGGAGTGGCTGCCCTTGGAGACTCTTAAGGTTGCTCTTTCAGATTGTGCAAGTTTAGGGTGGGAGGGATGTCCTAATGAAGAGCAGCCTCTGTTAGTTATAGGATGGAGATCACCATAACATGCTCATTTACCTCTCTGGGAGGCAACTAGTCATAAAGAGGCTTATGCAGCGGAGGGGAGGGGCAGCACAGTGTGCATGGTATCTCCCCTCTTGATCCCCTACTGGCTTCTAAAATGCAAAGGTGGGCTCATTGCTTTGACAACAGTAGAGGGAATTTAGATATTTCCAGAAGCAGCTGGAAGTGCCTCCAGGCAGACAGGAAAGGACTCCCTGAGCTGGTTTTTCTGGAAGATGGGGGGCAACTCACCTGTGTGCTCTTCACCATTCCAGCCATCTTCTTCCAAATGAAGTGACACAGACGCAAGGCACTGTAAGGCACATCTCCTCCTGCCCTGGAGGGCAGGAAACCAAGCTTCCTTTGGAGCAGCTTCTCTTTCCCCTATTCATCTCCCTTCCCATGTTTACTCCAGCTCTTTCCTTCTTGGATGGTGGAAACGCCTCCAAATGTCAAAGCTTGTTGTGAATAAAGTTTTAAGATGAAGGTCATGTAGCCAAACTGATATATGTGTATTTCTTCCCGGATAGAGAGTGTCTACAATCATTGGGATGGGAAAGCATCATGTAACCTTAACATCCAACTCAGAAAAAAAAGGGCCAGATTGGGTTTGAGGACCCAACGTGTAACTCAGGGGGAGTTCGGTCATAGAAGCAAAATCACCTTCCACTGACTGCAAACAAGTCAAGGAAGCCTTGCCTGATGTTAATGACCTTGTTTTTAACTAAAGTCACACACAATGTTTTCGCCAGATATTTTTCCTTTTATTTTTTAATTCACTCCTCCAAGTTCTGCCATTAAGTAAGTACTGCTCCAAAACCGTCACTCATCTGCTGATGGGTAATGCTCCTTTCAAATGATCTTATATGGCTCTGCGTCCCCAGGAACATGAGGGGAGGATAGAGGGGATGAGGGGAATCTGGGCTCCAGGGCTGTGAGTGTGGCAGGAACAGATAGAGGAGGAAAACCTGGCAGGCACACACCGCTCTTGAAAGCCAGCCCATTTCTTCTGAGCCCAGAGCCAAGCCAACACACCTGCCGAGGGTGGGGCAGTGGGGAACAGGTTTTCACTCTAGGTCCCACCTCTGCCCACCCCCACAGTGGCCAAGAGCAGCCTCTGCAATACACCAATCCATTATTTCTCACAAGTAGGAATGCTTTAAGTCAGTCAGTCTTCCTATAAAAGGAAGTTTCAGCTTAGTTATCAACATTGCACAAAGAAAATGAGTCTTGTAGCTTAGAACAAGGGGTAGCAAAGTATTCAACAATTACCAGACAGGTTTGTAGACATATTTTTTTTTTAAAGATTTTATTTTTTTCCCTTTTTCTCCCCAAACCCCCCAGTACATAGTTGTATATTCTTCGTTGTGGGTCCTTCTAGTTGTGGCATGAGGGACACTGCCTCAGCATGGCTTGATGAGCAGTGCCATGTCCGAGCCCAGGATCCGAACCAACGAAACACTGGGCCGCCTGCAGTGGAGCGCGGGAACTTAACCACTCGGCCACGGGGCCAGCCCCAGTAGACATATTTTTTAATGTTCATGTTTTGCTTAATCTCCACTAGGGATAAAGAGCCCACTTTCTTGCCTGTCCCTTGGGTCTCAGTAGCACAGGAATGAAGCCTTCAAAAACAGCATCTTGCTCCCTAAATCGTCAGTTTCTTTCCTGACCTAAATTTCCTGGGTGAAGAATGGCTAGTGGAAAGCAATGAAGGCCGTTGTTATGAAAAGTTTGGATTTTATTCTGCAAATATCCAGGGCCACTGAAGGTGCTTGCCCGCCTTTTTCAACAGGAGTGTCAGGATCCCAGCAGTAATATTTGGCTAGAGATTAACCAGACAGGAAGAATGGGAAGTTGGGAGATCAAAAAGGTTATGGACAGAGTCCAGATGAGAGAGAGAACCGTAATCTTAACCGTCTAAAGTTGTCCAATAGAAATGTAGTGTGGGCCACACGTGTAATTTTAAATGTTCAAATAGATATATTAAAAAAGTAAAAAGAAACAAGTAAAATTAATTTACATAACATATTTCACCTAACCCAATATATCAAACATATCATTTCAACACGGCATAATATAAAAATTATTGAGATATTTTACCGTATTACCAGAAGTCTTAGAAATCCAGTGTGTGGATAACTTACAGCACATGTCAATTCCTAAATTAAATTTTCAGCGTTTAAGGGAAAATGTGGGTCTGCCAAAACAATAAAGTGTTAAAGCGAAAAATATTCCTCACTGCTTCAGTTCTTAATATAAATTAAAATTAAACAAAACTTGAAATTCTGGTCTTCAGGCACACTACCCAGATTTCAAGCGCTCAACAGTCACAGATGGCTACGGGCTCCCGCGTTGGGCAAAGCAAGTCTCTACCGTAAATACGTCCAGACGTTGCACCCAAAAGCCCAACTCTGCGTTAATACCCGGTTAAGCTCCGGGCGCCGGGAAAGCGCGGATCCTGCAGTTCCGGACGTCGTCAAGAGGTGGCACTAAGGAGAACGGCCTGACGCGCTCGGCAGGAGCGTCCAACCCCGGAAGCTAAATCCCCCCGCTCTGTCTAGTTCTTCCGGCTTTCTCCACCGGCTACTACACCGAGCCTGGTTTGCTCCGGTCCTGAAGGCTGCAGCGGGGCAGGATGGGCCGGAGAGCAGAGCCGCGGTGTCTGCGGAGCGAGTGAAGAGCGGCGAGTCGTTGCCGGGTACGGCGCCCGGAGCTGCGCACCGGCGGTGGGTGCTCAGGTCCCGACTCCCGACGGGCGCAAACGGCAGAGAGCCCCCGGCTTAGAACGCGTCGCCGGGTTACCGCCATCGCGTCGTCTTGTCCTCCAAGGTCGCCAGGGCCGGGGCTGAGCTCCCACCGACGTCACCCTGAGCCCGGTGCACTCGCAGGCCTCCTCTCCAATGATTCAGAAGTCACGCCCGGCGCTGCTGCAGCCTCAGGATGTCGGAGATAGGGTGGAAACGCTTATGGTAAACTGCGGGAAAGGAAAGGCAGGGAGGGGTTCCGGGACCGCCGGCTCGAGGAGGGAAATTCACGAGGTTGCCAAGGGTCTGCGGCTCGAATGCGCGCGGAACCAGTTGGGGACGTGGCAAGAGAGATGGAGTTTGACTAAGGGAATTGAAAAGGGTGGGAGGAGGGAGGAGAGGAGTCGCAGCCCAACCCTCGCGACAGGCAAGGTCTCGCAGCTGCACTGGATCTGGGTAGAGATGGGTGGAATTGCCAGAGCCTTGGGGAGTGTTGGGGGAATGTGCCTGCGCAGCCCTGAGCGAGGTGCGAGTGCTACGGAACGTCGCTTTGAGTTGCATGCCTAGAGTGACAGAGTTGGGAGGACACCTGGGCAGATATTTGGACTGTCTCAAGGCCGGGTAATAGTCCCATGCCTGAGAAGCGGTCGGTGCTCGAGTGAGCTGTTCCAGGACGGCAGTGCGCCCGCGGGCGGGGCGAGAGGACACCCTCTGGTTATCCACCTTCAAGTCTGCTGGGAACCCGCGTGGTCCGCGGGCGCCACGAGGCCACGCCCCTCCCGCGTCTGGATTGGTTGCTGTCATCGTGCCGCCAGGCCGCCATTGGTGGAGGCGGAGGCGGGGCTGGGTAGGTGGGTCCCGGAGGATCTTCTGGCTGTGTCGCGACTAATGACGGGCGGAGGCCGGGTGCGGCTTGGCCTGGAGCCGCAAGGGCCCGGGCGGCGGCGGCGGCTCTCCCTCCTGAAGTGCTGATTCAGGGGGATGGTGCGGGATTTTTTTTTCTTAAAAAATCTTCATTATTATTGTTATTATTATTGTTGTTGTTTTGATTGAGGTTGTGATAGTTTACAACATTGTGAAATTTCAGTTGTACATTATTATTTGTCAGTCATAGGGGATTTTTTTTTTTAATCCTTAAAAAAGGCAGCGGCGGCGGCGGCTCTACGTTTACATTTTTTAAAACACGCTTACCTATTTCTCTTTCGGGGTCCTCCAGTTGTGGTCTTGAGATCTGAATTGGATTTAGGATTTAGTTTTTTAAAGCGGAGTAAGAACTGCTTGTGGAATCTGTTTGCCAACTATTTAAGTGCTCCTTACTGCCTTTGTGTTCCTGTGTTTTATTGTTTGGTTGTTTTTGCCCTCCCTCCTCAAAAAAAACCAAAAAAAACTCCATTAACTCATCTTATTTACCATGAATAACTTTGGGCTATTTAGAAAAAAATCAAACATGCCGTCAAAGGATATGCCATTTACCACTGACAATATCTTAAGATTATTCAAAATGAAAAGTGTAAATTCTGTTTATCTTTTTTAATAATTGTATTACCTGCTGTTTTTTAACTATTAGAGGTTAATCTATACTGCTGGTATATATTTAGCATCTGCTGAGTGCTAATGCACCTGGAAAATTACAAAGTTTAAAAAGTTATGGACTCCGTTTATTCAATAAATATTTATTGAGTCAGTAATATGTCCAAGCAATGTGCTGTGAAAATAAAGACATAAAGAAGATAGTTCCTGCAATGGGGGAGGGTGTGAGTGTGTGTGTTTGTGTGTGTGTGAAGGACAGCAGCCTTAAAACAAATGCCATACAACACCTGTGAGAGCACTGGGCAAGCAGCGCCAAGGAGAAAGGCTCAGAAGCTATAAAGTTGGAACTACAGGTCACTCCTACAGCCTTACTGGAGCTAAGGGCTGGAGGGAGCTGGAGATTACCCTGTCTAGGGATGGGGCATGCAGGGCCCACTAAGCTTTATCCTTTGGAATTGTGCTCAAGGGAGAGCCATGTGCAGATTTCCTGTTAGATGACGTGATTCATTCATTCTTAACTATTGAGCACCTACTGTGCACCAGCCTCCATGCTGGAGGTACCCGTGAACAGGACAGCCAGTGGCCTCTTCTGTCCTAGACCCTCAGTCATAAGGGAGCTGGGCTCAGGTGCAGTGGAAGCGCTGAGGAGGAGCACTGAACACCAGTGGGGGTTAGGGGGCTTTCCCAGAGCAGATGAGATCTAAGCGAGGCCCCTAGGGATGAACTAGACCTGGGAGGAGCTAGGGTGGAGTTTTCAGAAGTGAGAGGAAGGCAGAGTCCTTTATGGCTGCAGGGTGTGTAAAAGGGAGGAGGCTGAGAGAGCAGGCCACCTGATTCATGAAAGGCCTTGTAAGCCAGCAGATAGGACTTTATCCTGAAAGGAAGATGAAACAATTCAAAGATGTTGTTTTGTTTTTTAATTGTAATTGAGTGAGTGTTAATGACATTTATCAGATACTTTATGGTTTCTAATCCATTTATCACTACTTGCACTTTTAGTCCATTGTTTATTTATTTTTTAAATTGATAACTTCAAATTGTACAAAATATTGTCTCTCATTGAAGGGTTTTGCATCTGGAAGCAATGTGGTCAGATTTGCAGTTTTAAAAGATGACTCTGGCCACCGGGTAGAAAATAGATTAGAAAGATCAAAGAGATAACATGACGTGTGGGTGAAGAGATGGTGGCAGTCACCAAGGCAAGACATGAAGGGGCT